ATGAATCTCTCCATTGCCCTGTGATCATCTTTACATTTAGCAGATGGATGACTGTGATTCCTACCTAGCTGAACAGTTGCAGCATCATTACTTACTGTAAAAGACTATAAATGCTGACATCATTCTATTACATGTCACCGATATTCTGATAGTCATTGTCAAAAGCTGTTTTAAAAAGTTATTTCATGCAGTTGATTTAGCTCTGTTACTGTCCCTGCATCCATGGATGTGTTACTAAAACTTTGTGGTACAATCCCCAAAAGTTTATATCCAGTGCATTAACTGTTAAATTCATTTTAGATGGTATCAGAAATCACCAGTTACATTCAGACATCATGAACAAACCATAATTTGTTTGTGACCAAAACAAGGCTGAAATCCTTTGGCTCGTGCAGTCCTTCCTTCCCTCCCTGTCATTGACAACTTCCTCATTTAGGGCATCTTCAGACTAAGAGACTATGAAAGCAAAGCAGATATCAAGAGGTTATCACTCTATGTGGTTTTATGCATGGTATGTTCACAATCGGGCAGAGTGAGAAGGTCTTCCATCCACTGCATAATCACAGTAGCTATGGGAGCATTTCAGCTCTAAAGGATGAGTAATTTCACAGTTAGGGCTCATGACTAGGTTCCCGTCCGTCAGTATCCAGGCGCTTCAGAACCCTTAATCCAGGTTAGAATTTGGCAAAGGAACAAAGGTTATAGCCAAGATGGAAGGCTTCCAGCTGTGAAACAGGCCTACAGGCTGAGAAAAAAAGTTGGCTGTAAATTGAAATAATAAACAAACATAAAATAAACTTGTGGCTGAGCTGACCAGAGATCATTCTGCATGATCTGCGTGGAAATTTGGAGAATTACCTGGGAGCGAGAAATAAGTGGAAACCAGGAAGGAAGGAGCATTAACTGCCCTGTTTCTCTAGTGGCAAAGGGGATGGTAAAATGTGCTGGGATTGGCAGGGTTGGGCTGATGATGAGAGGAAGGGTGGTCAGAGAGAGACGGCCATAGCTGCTGTGATACATGCTGTTAGAGATCAAATGGGAGATTGGCGAACAGGTCTTGAATCCAGCTTGTAAAAGGTTATAGGAAACCAAAGGCCTCCAAGGCAGACTTTAAAAACGTCCGTGGGACCCCATCAAAGGCCTTCTCTGTGTTCAAAAGCTACCGTGGCTCTACAGGAAGTCTTGTTCCGTGTTAATGCAATCAGATTAGCTAGAAGCTGGATATTCTCTGATCTCTTATCTGTTCCTCATAAAACCTACTTGGCTGGTTTGGATCATGGTGGGAATCGCTTTCTGAAGCGGTATCTATATTTTGGAGTCTGCATTGTTCAGGTAAATGGGATGATACCACTGGCTCACATATATATATGCACACAAGGGCAGCGGGAGGAACTTTCCCAAGTTCTTACACCACTCAGCTGGAAAGCCATCCAGCCCTAAAACCTTCTCTTTCTTTCTTTCTTTTGGTTTTATTATTAATGTCGGCAAAAATGCAGTACAATATCAGTTACGTCAGTTACGTCAAATACAAACATCACATAATCAATATCATCATTGTATCAAACATTCATAAAATTAATAAATGGACACTGTGCTTGCCAAAATGACTCTCTATGCTTTCTATTTTTTCTTGAATAAAGCAATTCAGTCAGCTTGGTCATTTCAGCAATTTTCTAAGATTTAATTAGTTATTCTGAAACGGCTGGTAAATTAGCATGACACCAACATTTAGCTATTAAAATTTTTGCAGCTGTCAAAAGATCCCAAATCATGCTACAGTTCAGAGATTGAATCAGTCTCTTTAATGGATTGAGAAATAGGATCTAATTGAAGTTTATAATTAACTATCATTTCGATTACACAGGCAATTTCCCTCCCAGAATTTCAGTGTCACAATATATACCTACTCAGTATTAAGAAAATATGCTCTAACTTGAAAATATCTCTGACTTCTACAAACATGGATTTTTTTTAATTGACTCTTCTAAAAAGAAGAGAGTTTATTCTTTTTTCAATAAGAAAAAGGGAGGTATATAGTGGGATAAAGAAAAGGTTGGGTGATGTTATTATTAGTATGTTAGTCTTTTACTAGTAGTACACAAATCTTCTTTTGGCTTCTTCTGCGAGTTGTCAGTCGTCTTTCATCTTTACCTGTAAAGAAAATAAAAATTATTAATGGATTAGTAGTGTCCCCTTGGTTTTTGTTAGTAAAGTCTTTTCATGCGTTTTCCGAACTTGTCTTCATGGTTTGGGCAGCCTCCTTTTCACGTCCCTCAGGTTGTATGACGGACCCTTTCCTGTTCCTTTATCTTCCGGGGTTTTGACTTCTCCCTCCGAGCCGCTGTCTCTGTCACTGTCCAATTCCTTGGCGAGTGCTGCTTCCTCCGAGCTGGCGTGCCTCTTCAAAAAGTCTTGAGCTTTGAAGAT